ATGAATTTTATGAGCATCAAAGCTTCAATCCTCTGAGGCTTATTAAGCATTATGAGTATATTGCTTCTATGTAGATTTGCCAAATTAAGGGGGAAATTTAAGAAAACAAAGTCAGAAGCTTTTGTTTTTTTCTGCTTGTTTCTTCTCACATTTAGATTTTCATAATTTACATTACTGATTTATACATATTCTGATGGTCACCCTAGAGTTACATTTCTTCCTCAGATGGGCAGTAGTTTAGGTACGTGGGCATTCACAGGATTGGCTCTTACTGTAGTCTTTAATGTGATCACTTCTAGTGCAGGGAGGGAATCTTGCATTTAGAGAAAAACATCTTTACACACCTGGCTGGCTTATGGTTTTTTCTGTAGGATGCCCCAAATCAATAATCTAAAACAGACTTTGTGGTGCACACTCGGAATTGCCTGCTAGAATCAAAAGCAAGGCTGGGAAGACTGATTATATCCCTCATGGAAAAGTTCAGGTGTTGTGTTCATTCTTCTGTTTTGTTTTCAAGTTAATGCTGAAGAATGTCTTAATTGAACCTCATGTTCATAAATTCTAGGACTTGTATGTGTTGGTGTAAAAATTAGGTTGAAATATTACATTTTACTATACAGAAGAAATGATTTAAAACTGATCCTGACATTTTATTTCTGAAGTTATATGCATCAAGTTAGGAAATGGATTGTTACATATCTCAATTATGGGCTGTTTGATGCACATTAGAGCATTGTAATTTGCAAGTCTCGGTTAAGAGGCTGTTTTGTTAAACTGTTAAAGCTTCTGTTTGGTAAGGAAATTAAAATCTTAGACTTTTTAATTCCTACTTTATTATTTTTTAGAAGTTAGCGGTTCTCTTCTATAAATGCTAATTCAGTATGAGGGTACCACATCATAATTGGACCATTTGTTTAAAAAAACTTTTATTGCCAAGATCTTTTTAATATTAAAATTGCTATTTTCTACTTTTTAACTTTTAGCTTACATTGATTATTTTATTAGGTTTAACTCTGCATTCGTCATGCTGAAACGTCAACAGGATACCATGCTGGGTTTTAAATTGATTTTCTTTTCATAGAGTTACAGATCATAGAATCTTAATGTTGGATGAGGCCTTAGATCATCTAGCCCTGTTTACACCCAGTTCTTTTTGAAATTACACTGCCTGTTGGCCTGCAGAAACAAGACAGGCAGCGTTTTTTGACACCTGAAATGATCAGAAAATGTTTCTTACATGTCTGCTTTCTCATTATTAAATTAGATTCCACTTTGAAGATGTTTTCTAAAGAATCCAAAATGCTACAAAGAAGTATATCATTTTCGAATATGGTGAGTTCCTTTTATCAGTGTTATTATAGAAGTTTGTTTTATTCACACACCTATAATGCTATTTGATTTCTCCCTAAACAATTGAGTTTATTCCTTGTGCCATCTACAGACTATCTTAACTAGTTGGATGACTTCTAAATTCAATTTAGATTTTTTTCAGGTTGCCTCTTTCTCATACTATTGTGATTTCACTTTTAGCATAAAAAACTTGAAGACCTACCCAGCTGAATTCTCCCTTTTTTAGACTGTCACACTAAATGTTCATGTGGTACTTAAATAACTTTCGCGTTTCTGAGTTGGTAAGATACCNACAGAATTTTCCACAAAGCATAGAAAATGATTCTACAGTAAACCAAAAGGATGTTCCCGTGCAGCGTCCATGCTGGGCCACATCAGGGTCACTGAGATGGCACTCTGATGGAAGGAAGCAATCTGTGTGTTGCCGGGTGTTCTGCCTGCTGAGTTTGCCACCATTGTAGCACCAGACAGAGAGCTGTATCTTTAAGCAAAGTCTGTGTTCTTAGCTGGATTTGTCTGACACGGTTTGTTAAATCCTTCAGCTCGTTGTACTTGTATGACCTGGTGAACTATGAATTTTATGAGCATCAAAGCTTCAATCCTCTGAGGCTTATTAAGCATTATGAGTATATTGCTTCTATGTAGATTTGCCAAATTAAGGGGGAAATTTAAGAAAACAAAGTCAGAAGCTTTTGTTTTTTTCTGCTTGTTTCTTCTCACATTTAGATTTTCATAATTTACATTACTGATTTATACATATTCTGATGGTCACCCTAGAGTTACATTTCTTCCTCAGATGGGCAGTAGTTTAGGTACGTGGGCATTCACAGGATTGGCTCTTACTGTAGTCTTTAATGTGATCACTTCTAGTGCAGGGAGGGAATCTTGCATTTAGAGAAAAACATCTTTACACACCTGGCTGGCTTATGGTTTTTTCTGTAGGATGCCCCAAATCAATAATCTAAAACAGACTTTGTGGTGCACACTCGGAATTGCCTGCTAGAATCAAAAGCAAGGCTGGGAAGACTGATTATATCCCTCATGGAAAAGTTCAGGTGTTGTGTTCATTCTTCTGTTTTGTTTTCAAGTTAATGCTGAAGAATGTCTTAATTGAACCTCAAATGCTATTTGATTTCTCCCTAAGCAATTGAGTTTATTCCTTGTGCCATCTACAGACTATCTTAACTAGTTGGATGACTTCTAAATTCAATTTAGATTTTTTTCAGGTTGCCTCTTTCTCATACTATTGTGATTTCACTTTTAGCATAAAAAACTTGAAGACCTACCCAGCTGAATTCTCCCTTTTTTAGACTGTCACACTAAATGTTCATGTGGTACTTAAATAACTTTCGCGTTTCTGAGTTGGTAAGATACCTAATGCGGCAAAACCAATTCTTCTGAAAGAACACATTTTGTTTTTAATATAAATCATCTAAAGAATTTTGGACGTTTTCCCTACCCACATAAGTCTGTAATCCTGAGAGGGGATTTCCATTCTTGAGCATTATCCCAGCCCGCCCTGCCCCGGAGAGTTACTGCAGAGTGCTAACAGGGTTCCTCCAGCCCGGCAGGGAGTGCTGCCAGAGCCCTGTTGCAGGCTGGGTCAGAGTACACTGCACACACTTGGCCATCCCGTCCTTCATGTGGGAGGAAACCCCATATCTGGAGTTAGTCACTTGAGAAAACCTAGGTTAAATATGAGGTCAGCCACCACAAAGAGTATGTGAGCATTACTTTTGGGGGAGAACTTATAGATTTACCGTGTTAGAAATTTGCTAATTATTGTAAATGGTTGATGTTGAGTCATTTGTATTTCAGGCTTTATCATCCTGTTTACTTTTGCCAGGAGACGCCACTGTTGTAAGCTCTTCATGGGATAACAATGTGTACGTATCTGCGCACGTTCCTTTGCAGTTCCACGTGCAGAATAGCTCTCTGTGGGCGTGAGGTATAGGACAGTCTCCCACTGGAAGGGGGCTGTGCTGTTTTCTAAACGGAATAGATGTTAGAAATGAGGGGCAGTATTGTTGGGTTCGAATATGATTATTTCAATCAGTTTCTCCAGTTGGAATATATTTTTTTCTAAGTTTTAAATTGAAGCAAAAACAGATGAGCCAGACCAGGAAATTTCTAGTTTTAAATCCAAATTCTGAATATTTTGGTTTAATAGCCTGAGAACAAACATTCTGTAATTCTAGTGGGTCTTAGTAAGTGTAGAATTAAATATGTTTCTTGAAAATATATGTTCTTAAGAGTCTTAACATTAAGCTGTCATATTATTTTAATAGTTCTCATTATCTTTTAGCTATTTTTATTCCATAGCATTTGGAAGACGCCAAGACACATTAATGGGACATGATGATGCTGTTAGTAAGATCTGTTGGCATGACAACAGGCTATATACTGCATCGTGGGACTCTACAGTGAAGGTTTATATATTAACTGTTTTGAGCATATAAATACTGTAAATCATTCAACTACCTGTTAATGTGTTCTGTCACTTCATTCTTTTTCAGATTGTGTAAGTGATATATAAGGATATTAAATGTTGTTACCGGTCTTTTGTTAAATATGTGCACCTCTTAATATAACAGGAAGTCATCATGACTTCTGTACTGTGTTCAGCTAGGGGTTGACTGTTCTAGTATTCATTTGATAGCAGAATTGTAGAGAAATGTACAGTAGCAGCCCCCCTTATCTGACATGACTATAACTAGTTGATTAATTAATCAGAAAATTTCAACTTAAAGGAATCATTAAAAGATTTATTTAAACTCAAAACATACAAATGCACGTTCATTCACCATTTTTTTGATGTAGGACTGTGCTTGGCCTTTTCTTTGGCATCCTACAAAGCAGTCCTACATAAACCACACAAGCATCCAACATCTTCTGGTTCCCATTTGTGTTTATGTAGAAGAAAGCAAGAACCTAATACCATTAGAATTCCTTCAGATGTTTTCCAGTTTTTTCTCCATTTTTTTAGACAAGTTCACTTGCCTATACCTAATTTTAGTCATTTTTTTTTTTTGCTGACTTCCTTTTTGAGTCTACTCAAGACATTAATAGTGCTCTCAAACACTACAACACTTCTGCCTCATATTTCCTTAGTGCACACATTACTTAAATCACATGCTGACTTCCTTTTTGAGTCTACTCAAGACATTAATAGTGTTCTCAAACACTACAACACTTCTGCCTCATATTTCCTTAGTGCACACATTACTTAAATCACATAATTACAGCAGCAAGTGCAGGTGATGGAAACAGACACAGGTACAAAAAATCCACTCTAAGCAAGCACATGCTGATAGGGAAAAAAGTACAGGCATTGGGGAGGGGAAGCTGGAGCATTATTCAGCTTAACTTTATTGGCAAGTATGTTAAATGAAAGTTGGTCAAGGGAGTTTTTTTCCTGAGTGTTGGATATGTTTTTATTTTAAATGTTTAAAAATACCTTCTACAATGTGTTCTATCCTAGGTGTGGTCTGGTGTTCCTGCAGAGATGCCAGGCACCAAAAGACATCAGTTTGACCTGCTGGCTGAGCTGGAACATGATGTCAGTGTAAGTACCAGCGACAAAACTGTGTGGAAAGCTGAGTTTAAAAAGTCTGGGGCTGGGTGGGGAGAGGTTCTTGGTTTTATTTGTGTTTATGCACTTTTATTTTATTTTGCTTATTGGAGGAGATTATAGGCTAATCTCAGTTCTTTTCTTTGGGTTGACTTTTTACATTTCCAAGTTTACTCTTTTCGTTTTTCCAATTTGCTTCTTTGCACATTTCTCTGAGAATTAGCTACCAGCCAACTAGATTTCCAAAAAACAATTTTTGAGCATGACATTGAATATTTGGGTACTCTCGACCTCTTTGGGGCAAGAAGATGGGACCCATCCATCACCTTTTATGTTTTCTGACCTGGAAGATGGAAAGGACCATCTGTCCAGGAGATGCCCATTCAGTTGAAGGCAGTGACTGCTGTCTGGGGTGGCCAAGTGCACACAACCTGCTGGCAGAGCCGAGACTCACTCAGTTCTCCTAGCCTGTTCCGTTTTCCCTGGGTCACACTTCTGTGCCTTAGGCTGTAGTTCACAGTGCTGCCTTTTCTCTGAGGTTGTAAATTGATGCCTGATTTTCATGGTCTCCAGATTAACTGAGGCTGAGTAATATTTTGCATGTAACTCAGGATAGTAGTACACAAGTATAACCTTGAGAGATCCCCCACTCGCACAGATCCCTCAAATAATCATGGATCAGCTGTGCTTCAGGCAGTTTGGCTCTTCTCACTACAATTTATTATTGGAGTTTTTCTCTGAGCCTGTGAGTTTCCAGCTATTTGAAAACAGAATTACATATACCCTAGCAATACTTCATTTTTTCTTGTATTCAGTAGCATGTGAAGAACTTCATTTTTAAATAAATTATCATTTAATAGGATGATGTAGAAATACATCTACATCAGCTACACCAGCACATTGAACAATAGAGTTTAATCTATGTCACTATGACCACGTATTCAAATCAGCCTAGGAAACATAGCTAATGACCATTTATATAAACGGAATATATATCAACGTATTTTCTTCCTTAGGTAGATACTATCAGTTTAAATGCTGCAAGCACATTGTTGGTCTCTGGCACCAAAGAAGGCACGGTAAATATTTGGGACCTTACTACGGCCACCTTAGTGCACCAGATTTCATGCCATTCAGGGACTGTATGTGATACAGCTTTTAGCCCAGGTAGGTATTATCCTTTTTTTTTTTTTTTTGTCTTTTGTCATTTTTTCCGTGTCTGGCAACGGATCGCAACCCTCAGTGTTGCCCCCGTACCGGACCGGGGACCGGCAACGGGACTGCAAACCTCGGTGCTGCTCCCGCGCCTCGCTCAGCCAGTGAGCGGGAACCGGTCTGTACGTGGGATCCGAACCCTCGGGCGGGAGCGCTGCCGCGCTTCCCAAGCGGCGCACTTATCCAGTGCGCCACCTGGCCAGCCCAAGTATTATCCTTTTTAATACAGACAATACCATGTAAATTTTAATTTTCCATCACCTATGTCTGTGTCTCATCTTGTGTTGCAGACAGTCGCCATGTCCTCAGCACAGGAGCTATCCTTTTTAATACAGACAATACCATGTAAATTTTAATTTTCTATCACCTATGTCTGTGTCTCATCTTGTGTTGCAGACAGTCGCCATGTCCTCAGCACAGGAGCAGATGGCTGTCTTAATGTAATCGATGTGCAGACAGGGATGCTAATCTCCTCTATGACATCAGATGAGCCCCAGAGGTGCTTTCTCTGGGATGGAAATTACATTTTATCTGGAAGTCAGTCTGGTGAACTGCTCGTTTGGGACCTCCTTGGAGCAAAAATCAGTGAGAGAATACAGGGCCACACAGGTGCTGTGACATGTATATGGATGAATATTTCTTGATTTACTAGTGGTGAAGACACTTACAAATACGTTCATGATCATTTCACTAGGGCTTGCTTTTGCCAGTGTAACATACCCCTTCCTTCATGATGATGAAATTATTTTTCTTAATTATTTTATCAATATACAGTATATTCAATGTTCATGTCCCTTTACCAATTCCTCCTTTTCCTCCCTCCCTCTCCCCTCCCCCCCATGGACATCATTTTTATTCACTTGTCTTAACAAGATCAAGGAATTGTTGTCTTCTTCCCCCTGCCCTCGAAATGATTGCTAAGTCGCTGTTGCAGGTGCTTTCTCTGGGATGGAAATTACATTTTATCTGGAAGTCAGTCCGGTGAACTGCTCGTTTGGGACCTCCTTGGAGCAAAAATCAGTGAGAGAATACAGGGCCACACAGGTAAGCAGTGTGCAGTTGTCTTGATCTTTGTTCCTAAGATACTGAACTCAAACCTGCCTTTTCCACCAGGGAACACACCCTTCTCGATAGAAAACACCCATGTGTCCTTCCTGCAATAAACATTTCCCTGGTGCATCATGGTTGGTCAGGCAATCTGCATCTCTTAGGTTGCTCAGGGTTTAGATCTATATTGACAGATATTTGACTCCAAAAAGGAAGTTTTATTATGTTAACTTCCATATGAAGAACCAAAAACCATAGTAAAGCTGTAATAGTTTGGTTTTTTTTTTATTAAGATAACACACAGTAAAAAAAACAAACAGAAGTTTTCTTTTTTTATTTATTTTTGTGCTGGCTAGTACCGGGATCTGAACCCGTGACCTTGGTGTTACAAGGCTGCACTCTAACCAACTGAACTAACAGGCCAGCCCCCAAAATTATAATGAAAATTAAGGCTTTCTCCCATCACTGACTCCTACCTCCTGGTCCCCCTTAGAGGACTTTTTATCAGTGTGTGCCCTGTACGTGCTCCTCTTATTAATGAGAGAGGGTGTAAGAGTATAATATAAAGCATAATGTAAAACTGTTCTTCCCTTGTCTTTTCTGTTTAGTAGTGCCTCTTGGAGCTTCACGATGTTGTGTGTGCTTACATTAGCGTGCTTTCCTCCTGATCATTTGGAGGACTTAGTTTTTGGGGGGTTTTTTTTAGTCCTTTTTGAGACCGGCGGCACCGCGCTCAGCCAGTGAGCACTGTGAGCGCACCGGTAATCCCTCTATAGGATCCGAACCCGCGGCGGGAGCGCCGCACTCTCCTGAGTGCGCCACGGGCTTGGCCCATTAGTTTTTAATCCTAATATCTCCTTTTACCTCTATTGACTTCCCACTATGAGCAGTAACTTCCCATCTTCACCTTCTTCCCTGTCACTCAGTTTTGAATGGTTATTTCTTGAACTTATACCTTAAAAATCCTTTATCTATGCCTTTTTTCTTAACTTAGTAGCTTTAATTAACATTTGACCCCTTTCAATGGAAAAGGAAGTAAATCAGCAGACCTTCACCAATTCCCCATCTTTTCCCTCCCAAGTGTTTCTTTACTTTGTCATATTATACCCATTTTGCCAAGGTATATATTTGCATTTTGTTCTATACCCAAAATTCCCAGTTGTTTTAGCTTTAGATTTACATTTAAATGGTTTCTTATTCCTCAAGTTCTTTGTACCAAGCAGTTATTTTTAATTTATATGAGCATTTTATTATAAACACACAAGACAAAGTAGAACCCACTTCACCTTAGTAAATAAAGAGCAAGCAAGAGCGAGCATTTGGGCGCCTCCTGGTCAGCCTCCTACCTAACCAAGATGTCTCTCTCTCAGGTGCTGTGACATGTATATGGATGAATGAACAGTGTAGCAGCATCATCACAGGAGGGGAAGACAAACAAATTATGTTCTGGAAACTGCAGTATTAAGTGCCTTTTCCTCTCTTGAATGTTAAATTGAACTCTAACGTATTTTTAAACCAAACTTTTAAATGAACTGGTGAATGTGCAATTATAGTAATTAGAAGTTTTACCACATGGAAAATTTGTGGTTTTAAACTTTCTAAGTCATGGTGACTTCATTGAAAGCCATTAGTCGCCATCCTCCAAGGCAGATAAAATACAGCAGTATTAGGGAGAAGACATGACATCTGTGAGGCAGATGATCATCCTAGTAAGACGACGGTCAGGAGACAAGATCGGGCAGCACAGAGTAGCTAAGAGATACTAAACTGGGCTGGAGGAACTTACCAGAAAGCACTGAAGAATTTAGAATTGCCCTAGAAAACGTGCAGTATTCTCTACTACTTCTCAGTCGCTCTGTTTTGTCTTTCTGCTCTACCACAATTGCTGCCCATTGGGTTTTTGGTTATGTGTGTTTTCATGGAGTGGTTACTTCTATAATGCTGTACCCAGATTCTAAGAACCTGGGGAAGGATTAGCAGTTCTTATAACAGTAAGTTTATTCTGTTATAGGAATTGTTTGTATTTCATTATAGCTGTCATCTTTTCTATATTAAAAATATTTTTCTGTAATGCAGTTTTCATTTTATTATTTAAATAATTTATTACAAAGACTAGTAAGTAGCTTTTAAGAACCACAAGTATTGATCCTTCTAGAAAACCATATTTAGTGATACGAATATAGTTCCATTACTTTTGAAACTTATCTTCAGACCCAAGGCCAGATGGCAAAGTAGATAATCAAACTGGGAACTGTTTGCTTTTCTAAACTTCAAACAAGGTAAGCTCAACAGCAATAGCAGTGATTTTCTTTTACATTCGACCTTTGAACTACAGTAATTATTTAAAATTTTTGTATAGTCTTTAAAAATATTGTTATATCCTACAGGTAGTATGGCATAGGGAGGAAAACTTGAATCAAGACCATGGTAACTAGAATTTTCAAAGGCAGTCTTAAGGTGTCATTAAATACTACCTGATCCTTTGTTGTTGCTAGGAGGAACCAATAGCCTCACTGAGTTCCTGAGGTGCACTGGTGTGAACCAGCTCCCACAGGCCTGTTAGGAGGGCTGTTCTCAGGGCCCTTAGCAATCTGGGACTTCCAGCTGGAAGCACTTTTCCTGACACTCAAGTCTCTTAGGAGGGCTGTTCTCAGGGCCCTTAGATGTTAGCTGCTCTGGGAGGTGACTGTCTCCCACCGCCAAAGGTGAATTTCACAGGCCTCTCTTCTAGATCATACACAAACTTGGTGAAAGCCAAATTTCACACAGTTTCCAGATGATGCTATAACAGACTAAATTTAACTTTATTCAGACATACTCAAAACAGAATAGTCATAAACCAAAAAGAAAAAAAATCAGAATAAAGTGTCACTGCCATTTTGTTTGCAGGAAGGAGTCATGAAATGGAACAAATTACCAGGAAAACATTCGAAGACCATCTCGAAGTAGCTAGGTTACACAATGTTAAGACTGAAATGCCAAAATTAAGTATTATCCCACTTAACCTACAAATACAAAGGGAGTCAAAAGTTTATCCTGTTTAGTACCAAGAATTTTTACATTAAATGTACAGCAATTCATTCCTCAGAAAGTGATACTGGCAACTTTCAGAAGAAAGAAGTTTCCATTACGCAACGACTAGAAAATCTCAAAAACAACTAAGCAGCTATGCGATAGCTCAGTAAGTACCATTAAAGTATTCTGGGCTAAGTGTACATTTCAGTTTAATACTGAACTACATTTTGAGTTTTAAAAAGGCAGCAATAATTATATTTTGGTCTTAATTCTAGATGCTTAATATAGTTAAGGCGATAGTTCAAGCATTAAGTGAAGGTAGTTAAAACTTAATGACAATAATTACAATCTCTTGCAACCTACATATGCTATATAATGCTTACATGGAATGAAACCAGTGTTCTTAATTGGTATTTTACACACACACACACACACACACACACGAGAAATTCCCGAGGGTTCCTATCAAAAGCAATCATTCTAAATGTACTATGGGAACATGTTAAAAACACAAATATACCATAGAACTAAAGTGATATGAACAGCATTACTCATTACCTAGGAGAAAGGTGACTGGTTTTCACATAAAGCTAAGCCTGTATCAGTCATCCTAATCACAATGGCTTGTAAAAGCATCAGGTTTCCAGTAGAGAAACTATTCTAGGAAAGTCAGTAAATCTTTTGAAAGTTTCACATCTGTAAAACCAGGATAAGGCTACAATTGTCTTGAAATGTGAACAAGATATCAGATGAAACAGTAAGATTCCCAGCCATAATGTAAGATAGGAAGGTCCTCATGCAGCATATGCTCCCTGGATCTGGGAAAGCTTCATGTGCATAATACAGAAGTTGCCGAAGAAGGAAATTGGAGGAGTTCAGCTACGTTTCCATCCTGCCGTGACTTTTAGACCTCAGGAATGGTGTGATCCATCAGGCTTTTCATAATGCTTGGTGCCATCCTACAAGAAAAGTTTTATTATACACTAGCTCCTCCCTCCACCCCCAAAATGCTATATTAATCCAAGTCCACTCCAATTCCAGTTTGGCACTGTTGGCCTCATAGCACCTGTTAGATTTAGGGAAGAAGGGGAAGGTCTTTGAAACAAGCTTAGACGTAAGGGTCTGTGGTAAGCTAGTTGTTGGCAAATACTGAGAGTGAAAGGCTATCTGTGTTTTGGCTAGAAAAGTTCAATTGGATACAAATAAGTCCTTGTATATTAAGGCTAGGGATTTAAAAAAAAAAAAAAAAAGACAAGGCTGTGATAAGTTGGGAAGGAAATGGGGGAGGAAGGACCTATCAGAGATTTAAGAAAAGAGAACTCCAGAGCAATGAGTCCTGACAATAACTTTTTTTCTCCAAGAGTAGCTAGCTGCATTTTACCCAGAGCCAACCTTACAGAGAAAAACTTCATTACATGGGTTACTGTTTGTTTTTCAATCTCATTTCCATAGGCATGATACGGATTCTGAAAGGAGGATTCTCAGTTGGCTTGGCAAAAACAGCTATGATAAAAGCTAGGATTTGAAAAACTCTAGAGGAAGTAACCCTTGTTGCCCCTTTTCAGTTCTGCTCACTCAGCTTTCCAGTTCTCAGCTCCTGAGGACAGATAATAGCACCACAGGCCACACAGCTCTGCTGCCTTTTGAGATGCTGGAGAGAACATGAACAGTCACTGCTAACATTCCACAGGCAAGAATTCTCCATCATGACCCACATGATCAGATTTCTACTGAGCAGAGAGGGCTGTAGGCGGAGCACAGCTACAGTCAATCGTGCTGCAAGCTGAAGCATGCCCACCTCTGCTTGAACACCCTTTTCTACTGGACAATGTCAAAATTTCGTAAGTGTATGTGAATTTTATTCCATACTTGGGAAGCTGTTAGAGGGGTCATCCTCACCAATTCCTCTGATTTAAAGAATTTACTTCAAATTTCTAGAGCAAAAAAGAAGTACAGTGCTTACTCGGCCATACACATGAAGCTGAAGAACTGCCTACTTACCGTTTAATAATATGTTCAAAGATAAAAGCAGGCATGATTGTTATGGTAACTACAGTCCCAGATGTTGACAGTATGTCTGCAATTTGAGAGTCCTGATGAAAACACATAATGAAAATTAATTTCATTGAGGCTTTATCTAATAAATATAAAACAGTTAAGAAATGTACAGTATACACCCTATTATGTTTTGCTCATAACTCTAAAATCCTGACCCCCATTATTTCTAACTTTTTCTAGTATTCCTTACCAAGTTCAATTCTATAGGACAATTTTACAGCTGGTGACAAAACTGCGAAGAAAACTGAGTTGAACATATGAGATAAAAAATCATTACTGAAGGGGCCGGCCCAGTGGCGCACTGGATAAGTGCGCCGCTTGGGAAGCACGGCAGCGCTCCCGCCCGAGGGTTCGGATCCCACATACAGACTGGTTCCTGCTCACTGGCTGAGCGAGGCGCGGGAGCGACGCCGAGGGTTGCAATCCCACTGCCGGTCCCCGGTCCAGTACGGGGGCAACACTGAGGGTTGCGATCCGTTGCCGGACATGGAAAAAGACAAAAGACAAAAGACAAAAAAAAAAAAATCATTACTGAAGATTAAATAATTTTCCCAATATATATTACCATATCTGCTCAGTTAACTGTATATTCTAAACCACATTACTGAAAATTAAATAATTTTCCCAATATATATTACCATATCTGCTCAGTTAACTGTATATTCTAAACCAAAGTTTATGAAATGAGCAGGTCTTAACTAAAATCTTTAGACCTTAAGACACACTTACTTAGGGATTTACAGACCAGGAAAAAACTAAAAACAAAGTACTAACATGAACCAAAACTATTTCTCATTTCCTTATATTCCTGGATTGAAAAAAGTTGGGCAACCATTCATTCAGAACGTCATCAAAATCTCCTCTGCCTGTGTCTCCACAGAATTGTAGCTCAAGGGACTTTAGAGATCACTGAGTCCAGCCCGCTTCTTATAGAAACAATAATTCCAGAGAGTCACCCAGATAATTCCTGTGACTGGCCCAAGAACACAGCTAGCTTAGGCCAGAGCCCAAGCCCAGGTGCTATGTCCCCATCTCCCGCTGAGTTTCTGCATTTTGGAGGTCAGTATGAAAACAGCATCACCTACACAGTCAAAAGAAAAAGACATCTGCTAAAATAAAACTGCAGCAGAACAGGCAGAAGGTCAGTTTCTTACCTTTAATCCAATGACATTCTGTCCGTTGATTTCACAGATGTTATGTTCGGTGAGAAGGCCATTTCTGGCTGCAGAACTATCTTTCACTATGGATGTTATTTTTCCATTTTTAAAGATAAAGCCAACATGTCCAGTACTATCCTTATGCATGGTAATTGTCCGTTCAAAGGGCCTGTAAACGTGATGCGTTCAATTAAAAATTTAATTCCAAGGTAAACATTTTAATGGATTTCATATACCATAAATTCTGCCATGTTGGATATTTTGTTACACTAAACACTAAGTGTTTTAATAAGAGCAAATTGTTATGACTCTGATATTGCACATTCATAGAACATCTTTGTTTAAAAGATTATTTTTTAAAAAAATCTTCATTGTGGTTTGACTGACTTACTAATCAAGATTTCCTTCTTCAAGTATCAAACACAACTGAACACAACGCTTCATGCTACTTATCAATATGCTTTTACCTTTAAAATTCATCAGACTTTAGCATTAAGAATGAGATAGGCTTTTAAGAACTGGCCGGTTGGCTCAGTCAGAATGTGGTGCTAATAAGAATGAAGTAGGCTTTTAACTATGGCAAAAATAAATTTTTATTTTTAATTAACTTTTAGTATTTCCTAGAGCCTAATCACAATGGTGAAAATAGATTATTTTTAATTAACTTTTAATATCTCCTAGAGCCTAACTGTTTTTAGGAAATACTTCTTTTATTTAAAACTTTTACAATAGTTCTCATACATCTTAATTTTGAAAATTTTACAGATTTTTTTGTTGTACTTTAAAAGAACTGCCAAAGCAGGACTTAAGTTTCTCAAGCCCTTTTGGAAC